AAAAGCCAGGGGAAACCATCATACTGAGAGAATTTCCTGCTGCCAGCATAGTATGACACAAACAATATTTGCCACATTAACAGCCCTTTTTATATCACCAGAAAAGTACAAGAGCACTGAAAAACAGAAGAGTAAATTAACTCACTCAATGGACAACGTACCCCTACTTTCTTCAGGGATCCAGTTGGATTAAAGGTCTCTGCTGAGAGGGACCTCATGGAGATCTCTCTTCATGGGACTTCAGGCAGCTACTGTGCATGTTAGTGTTAGCGACAGGGGTTTAAAATGAGAAAATGAAAATAACCCTCAACTCTGACTGGGAACCAAAGGACACTCTCCATTAGTCAGGAGCAGGACCATCCACAGACAGTAATCCAGGTTTGGGATCTGCGCTATAAGATCACAGTTGAGGCCTACACAAGCTGTAGATTCATTCTTAGGTGCACTTGGGTGGTAGTGTGGAATGTAACTCAAGTCAGACAAGGTCTCCCCAGCAGAAAGATCTTAATCTTTCAAGCAACTTCTTTTCTCATTCTGGCCCTCTTTTGCACTCAACTGCTCCTATCTCCTTCCTGCTTTTCAGCCCCTTCCCTTGTAACACGGCTGCAGAACCTTGAAGCCCCCCGAGTCTGTGGAATGGCAAATGGCTGTTCAGGGAAGTTCTAGGTACTGAAGCTGGGTTCTTGTCTCTTTTAATCCTTAAACAAGGGTAGCTGAGAGGATGACAGTCTGTGTTCTTCTGGCAGAGATTGCCAGTGAGCTAGTGGGACCAAAGGAAACAGCACTGTGCCTCTTAACTGCTGTGTTTCTGATCTAGGGCTGAGAAGACCCCATCTTCTTTAGCACAATGTCAAAGAATTTGCCATGGTTCGCGTAGCCAGATATTGACTCATGGGTAAATACGCATGGATACCATACTACTAATTGTGGAGTTCTTAGCCCTGTTTCAGTCAAAGTGGTTGTGACCTACAGAAGTTCCTATAAGGACTGGTAAAGGCACTGGATTTCCAATCCTGTAAGGACTGAAAATGGTCCACCCTGAGAGTGCCTTTCAACTTACCCAGTCTTTGGGGTAAGTGACCACTTCACAGCTCTGCAGACACATGACAGACAAAGGATGGGGGACAGCTACAACCCCAAGAGGAAGCAGTGTGAGCTGGGACCATCCCTGTCCCACACACAATTTCTGAAGACATCTAAGAAGGGTAGACCAGGAACTTGTTTCTCGGTAGCTGTTGGAGAATGGCAGTGTTTGCTTAAGGGAAGAGGACTGGGGTGGTTTTCCCAGTGTAGGAACCACTTCTGTATAAGTGCCACACTTACAAGAATAGATAAAGGTCAATGAATATGTCATACAATTATGTCCACTGATACTCTGAACATAAGATGCAGTTTGAATAGGTGGAAATTCAGTGCCAGACTCTAGCTCATAATCAAAACCAGCAGCACTGGTAAAGTCACCGTGACAGTGTGCAACCATTTAACGTAAGAGATGAGCGATGCAGCAAGTACGTGGGCAGTCTCTACCATGCTTCTCCACAATAAAAAGAGTATACTAATGCAAAATCCAGCAGTTCTCCTAAGTTTTTTTTTTTCAGAATCCCTCCCCCCCCATTTTGAAATTCAGTGTTTGTTTGGAAACACCCGAGGCATTTTAATAGTACTTTTCTGCAAATGAAGATAGATGAGACAGGAAAAAAAGAAAGTGGAAACCACACAGGTGATACAGTTGTGAAACAAACTACTTACCTGGCAGATCTGCTGAATGCTTTCTTTAGCCTCTCAGCCAGATCTCTGCAGGAGATTGTTTAAAGCTGGTGCAGTTTAACTAGATATTCACAGATATGGCAATTATGGAGATAAGGTGCCAAGCTGAGAGTCAGAAGATTTTTTTTGTAAGTAACCTCTTACATAGCAGTGGGCAAGTCACTTCACTGCATGGTAGTTTTGCCTGTCTGTAAAACAGAGATGACAGCATTGACTTTTCTCATGAAGCAGAACGTAAAGAACAAAAAATGCTGTACAAGCCTAATTCGGATTCTGCTAGCAAGAATGGAAAGGCTTATTTGAATCTGGTAGGCCAGAATCAAGCCTTAGAAGTTTAGAAGCACGTAGAAGTAGTCATCATTGGTATAACTAGACTGGTAGCCACCAGACATTAATGGTTTCAGTAGTTTTTGCTTTATCCGGAGTTCTCTCAAACCCAAGGTTAATCTTGGAAAAAGCAAACAGGCCAATTGAAACTTGAGAAATCAACTTAAAATAACATAATTTCATTCCATCTTTAGACCCCATTCCTGAAATTGTTCAGCATGTAGATATGGTAATGAAAACAACGGGAACTTCTAACTGTGGGCTGATGACATCAGTGATGTTTTCTTTATTCCCATAACAGACTAATCACATATTACATATCATGTGATTGCCAAGTCCTACCTCCAGAGAATTAGGTGCTGCAGACAGTGGTTTGGAACACAGCTACTCCACGCTTACTCACATACACCAGCAATAGATGCAGTCTTCTGTGCTGGTAATTTCTCTGCTTCCTAAATATTTAGCAAAATTGTCATTGTGGGTTAGTATTGCTATCCAGAATGTGATCCCTAAGGCATGGCCCATGCATGGAATATTCACGGGACACTAGTAGGACAGTTATTTGTCCATGTCTGCAGCTACTCTGTTACCTTCCTAATGATGGAAATAAAATAACAAGGTGGTGGATTTTCAGCAAATCTAGAGAAAAATTCAACAGTGCTAACAGACCCTGAGGAGGCTGCAAGAGCAAGTTCCAGCTCAAGTTGCTAGATATGTATAAAGCAATTTAAGAAATTAATTCCAAGAAGGTCAATCTTCTTGTCATTCAAGCACAACAGAGCCTCCAAGCTGCTTCCAAATGGATCAATGGCTGATAACAGTGAGCAGCCTCACCCACAAGCACTCTGGCTCAGAGGTGTTCTGAGCTCCAGAAGTGGCCCAGTGCCCTTTACATCACTAACAGTTTAGTTTGCAAACCCAGGCTCAGATGTCGCAGTGTGTCTCTGAGATTTCAACATAGAGTTCTGCTGACACAGCTGCCTCCCTTATTTCAGGATTAAAGCCATCAGCTTGTAGCAGTAGAGGCTTATGAAGAAGCCCAGTTCTTTGCTCATCCCCATGAGGACACCAGCTCTCCTCAAACATAGATAAATGATTTTTAAATCAACAGCTCAATACCTGCAATGTCACAGTTTCTATGGCAGCCTGCCAGGTTTTTGTGCAAAGAGTGGTATTAAACAGTATTATGAACAGAAAGGAATTGCAACTTAGTGCAAGACTAAAACATCAGAATCCTATTGAAATTAGTGTCTACAAGTATTAAAACGTACCTATAGCTTTTGCCAGTTTTTTAAATGTATTGAGAAACCTAATTATTTCATCGCTCACAAAACAAAACATTACTACCTCCCTCTTAGGGGAAATGATTAATGGAGAAGAAAGGAGGCAGAGGTGAGATCTGCAGAAAAGACTGTTAATGTGACAAACCAGTGACATCTAAATAAAAGTAAAGGCATAGAACGCAATTACTGGTGCATGGATAGATGCACAGTACGTGTCATATACATCTGCGTGTGTGCGTGCGTGTGTGTGCAAGGCAACAAACATAAATTGAAAAGACTTTTGCCTACTACTCATCTATGTTGTCCATCTAAAACTAGAGGATAAGAATCGTATCTCCAAACCCTACCTAATGTGTTTTGTCTTTTCGGGCTTGTTTCATTACTTGGCTTCAAAAGTACTGAAAAATAAATGACAGTATCATGTAGCATTCAGAACAAGCTAGTATACGAATGTGGAAGAGGCACTAAAGTCTATCCGTTGAGTTTGTCTTTCCTTAAAGACTCGCAGGACCACCCATTGCCTTACAGTGTCTAGGTAATAAGCATTGTGCAACCGAGGTGTAGGATGCTGCCAGTACCACTCAGTTAACATATCTCAGCATTTGCGAAACTTCAGAAAGCGCATTTTGACTGTTTTTTCCTCCCTTCAACCAAAATACTCATATCGAGCTGTGCCATATTTCGAGTATATTCTTAATACGCTAATTTGCACTTTAAAACCCTAAAATAAATCCTACACTAAATAGCACTTTAAATTGTTTTACAAATGTCAAATAAGTCACACAGAGAAAACATACTGTTCTCAGTCTATCCTCATGGGAATGTGTGGAGCAAAATGGGCAAATCTGACCATCTATTTTCATTATTTACAGCTGAGAGTAAATTTTACTCTATCTATTTTCCAAATTCATGGCCTGCTGTAGTGTTTCCTATATGTAGTGTCCTGTGCTGGCATTGCAAGTATTGTATGTGTTTCAGAGAAGGACATCGGCAAATGGATTGCTGCTTTTAAAATTCACATTCTGCCGTCGTATTTCCATACATAATGTACTCTGTGTGTCTAAAACGTGTACAGCCATTCTACACGACTGATACTGGAAATCCTATAGGACTATTGGGGTAAATTTGGGGGAGGGGATGAGCAAGAATTTTCCCCTTATTAATATTTCACGCAGGTATAAATCAGCATAAACAGAATATACTCAAATACTAAAACACAACTCACAGTCCACTGCCTCTCCAAAGCTCTGAGCGACAGTAGCTTCATGACAAACAGGTCATTCATGCACCATCCAACGTCATGCAAAAACATAATCCGATTTCTAACTGCAGTCTTCTGCTCGCAGGACTAGGAACCAATGCACGTCCGTTTCTGAAACTGCCCCTCTATGCGGAAGTACAGGTGGCTGCTGTTACACCTAACGTGATCACGTTTTGTTTCTCCTCCCATTTAACAGACTATTTTATTTTGGTGCAGTGCACATGAACGCAGTGTCTAGGACAGATGTGCTACTTTTTATAGTGTTGCTATAGAACTCTTTAGCTGTGAACCCTTAATTTGCAGCTGGAACTCTAATAAACAGTGCATAGTGTTTCAATAGCCTTCTGCTTATATGTTTGAAGATTCGAAACTGAATGGTGAGGTGGCCAAGGCGGCGCTGGCAAATGAAGACTGTCCCCACATAGACCAGGCTATTACGCCTGATGAGGGCCTGCCCTTTACCCGCTCTGGCACTCGGGAGAGATATGGACCCTGCTTCCTCTTATCAACCGGGGAATATCCCTGCCCGCCTGATGGAGGAATAAGAAAGGGTATGTAGCTGGGGTCCTCTAACCATGTAGTTAGCAACCGTTTTAAATAAATAAGAGAAAGTCAGCTGTAGCTGTAGCACGCAATAGTGCGCTTGCTGTAGAGATGCACGTTTGGGCTGGAAACCACCACCTGATGTCTGCATTTGGAGTTTCCAACTTATTTCTTTCAGAAAGAAAAGCCTGAGGAGCTGTAACTACCCCATGCAGCTATGCTAGGCAGTCAAGTCTTCCACCCCAGCTGGTGCGGTGCAGTAAACTTTAGTGGAGGATGCTCTACAATGTCCTTAAATTAGCCCATCCTCCAAGAAGAGGCCAATTAACGTTTCATAGCAATGAAGGTTTGCCACTTGGAAAGCTCACAGATCTTACCAGACTCTGAGGAGCACAGACTTGGAGGTGGCACGTAGAAAAGATAAAACACAAAAGAAAAACGTCCTCAAGAAATATGAAATGATTATTCGGCTACCTTAACAGCGCACTAAAACAAATTATTTGGATATTCATAGCTGTTTAGTTAAACAGAGAAAGAGAAGCATACAAGAACATCCGTTAGCACAGGTGTCTTACAATTGGAAAATAATCCATCTAAAATCACTTTTCTTTCATAAATAAATCATTAATAGTTTCTCAGACTTCTGACAGCTACAGATCTCAGAAGTAACTGCATTTTGGTTTGCTAATGGTCAGAATAATCTATTTAGCAACAGAAGTCAAATTAAATGAAAAAAACACTTCCCTTCTTAAAATAGGCTGTTTGGTTTAAATGAATAACATGATGAAACCATACAAACCAAAATTAGAGTTACATATATACGCATCAAAGTTGATAAGGAATGGGAAAACTGGAAAAGAAGTCTGTCTCTTCAAATCAGTGTTTATCACTGGTGTACTGTATATAGTATATGATATATCAATATTTTAAAACTGCAAAGATTGTATGATGTAACCATACACTGAGTATGGAGTATAGAATTCCCATGTGCCATTGTATGATGGGCAATAGTTATAGTAAATGCCAGTTATAGATAGTGTATGTATTTATAAGTTTAAAGCTTATCATCAACAAAGATACAGTTGGACCACAAGACTTTCATATGAAAGTATATCCTCTAAAATTTACCTTTGTAGCAAAGTGTTTTACTTGATTCTGTATTGGATAAGGATTGGCCATGTTCATTCAGCCAGGGCGAGTTCGGGTGGTTCCAGTGGATCAGGGGAACACTCCAAATGGCACATCCTTTGGGATGAGGAATGTATGGTTTTCACGATGCACTGCAACCGCCTCTCGTTACTGAATGAAACAGAGGCTGGTTGGCTAAAGAGTAATATACGTCAGCATATTGTTGGCCTGTTTGAAACACGTTGAGAGCATCTTAATTGTTGTTCCAACAGAATTTCATCCATAGTTTGTGCAACTCTCTGTACACTTGCTGAGTTGTTTATGTGCATGTCTGAAAAAGAAGGGGGGGAGGGAGGGAGGGAAACCGAATGCATGCAATTTAGTTTTCTTTCTTTTTTTTGGTGTTTTTTTTTTAAATGCTGAGAACAAAGGAGTAGTATCTCTATAGCAACACAATAAATTCTATGGATTTTGCTGCCTTTTTCCCCTCCTGCCCTCAAAGATACCAGAAACCTTAATTTTGCCTGAGGTCAAAATGCATGAAGTAGAAAGGAGAGGTACGTGTGAGTGTATGACAGAGACATGGAAAATCCCTCCCACTGACTCTTTTTCTTTTTAGGGTACAACCATGTTGCTGCCTGTAGGATCAATTGCATAGCCTGACCATCCTTGAGAAATGATGACTTTTTTCTTTTTAATATTTTTTTTTAAACTTGATCTGTACTTTGATGGCCTTCTGGGTCACGTTGCAAGCGATACTACTCTGGGCATGTCCATGCATGCAGATGCTATTGAACTGGCTACAATATTGACCTCATTCTTAGTCCATTCTGTCATTGATCCAATGCTGTACTTTGCATTTTTCTTTTAAATGAAGGTTACGAAATGTCACGGAGCCTTAACAGCATAGCTGGCATAAGTGGAAAAGCGATAGGATTATCCTCAGTGTCTGCGCCCTACAGCTCTCCTAGTCCAGTGAGACGTTCTTGGTCTCCCATCCCATCTATTTTGTAGCATGGATCAGTAGCAGAGAATGGTCTAAAAAGCTTTATTTTCAATTAGCCTGTGCTATGTTGCATATAATCCAGGTGACTAAGTCTGAAGATGCAATGTCTCACAGTAGCACCTGCTGGGAATGGTGTTACTACTGATGCTAGGGTGACAACACTCCTAACTAGCACTCAGATGACAACAGGCAGGCATTTACATAGTACTGGTGGGCCATACGTGCTGCATGGTGTCAATACATAGGATGAAGGGTAGATGCACCAGATAGTTTCCTTCCTGGTGCATCATGCTAGCACATGCTTACTTTGGCTAATGGTGGATCTACTGGCTCTGTATGGAATGAGTTAGGCATTTAGTCGATGCTGAAACAAGCCAACGATGGAAGATTTTGCTTTTCTCAGGATATTTTTGAGCCATAGGAACCCTGCAGGAGTTTGAGCAAACAAGCACAGTAGGATGAAACTTTGCATGGGCGCCTATTTTAAGCTGAAAGCAATACTCAGACACACTGTAGAGAGGTCTCAGTCTGGCTGACTGCATGGAAAAAAAAAAATCCTGTTGAAGAAGAATATGGCTGCCTCTGCATGTAGCTATTTCACGTTTTCCTCCTTCTTTTAAAACTAAGATGCCGAGCTTGATGTGAAAAGCGCAGGGAAGAAGCTCAAGTACTGATTGTATTCTTTACATGCAGATCTTTGCAAAGAAAGTCCAGTCATTGCTAAATATATGCCAACAGAGGCAGTCAGAGTGACCTGACAAGGCGAGATGGAGATGAACATTGATGGCTAATAAACATCTGTGTGGAACTGTGCAGGCATAGAAGACCTTCTCATTTGGACAAAGTTAACTCGCTCCATGCAGGTTTTATGGATGATTCTTCGTGGATTTGGAGTTGTACTAGAGATGCAGGCTTTTTCTACGGCCAAAATGTAACAAAACTGTAGAAGATCCTTTTCTTTTTTTTAACCTATTTTTTTGTTCCATAGCATGAATTGCATGAAGACAAAAATTTAAAAAAAAAAAGAAAAAACAAGAAACACTGCAAATATATGATTAAGGATAAAAAAAAAGCAAAATTATATATTTTCTTTCAAAGCTCTTTACTTTTACATACATTGTTGTAGCCAAAATGTAAAACATTATAAAACTGTACATTTCTTTGCTATGGATCGCTTCTTTTTGTATACAAGATAAGGAGTAATGGTTTTAAAAAGTGCAATCAGGCAGTCATCGGTCATATTGACCACGCCTTCACAGTTCATCACACCAACATGGAAATCAAGAACTTTTAATCCAACTAGAAGTGTATAAAAATAAGAAAAACTTTTTCCTGTCTGTTTTTGTTGGCATGCTTGTGACACATGGGACTTTCCTTTGGAACTGACAGTAACAGCTGGTCTAGATTTAATTTTCCAGCTCTGGTTATGTTGTATTTTATTGATGTATAGATCCAACATAAAGACCCTTCATAAATTGTTCATATTAAGTAATCAGTATGAATTTTAAACAAAAGAGGTGTTATTTTAAAACTGGGACTTATAGTACAGAATCAGGAAAATACTCAAGTATAAATGGTCTCAAAGTTTAAGAAACAAGACAACAGCATTGTATGCAATTTAGTACTGAGTAAAATGCATGCACAATGTTATGCAAAACAATTCTAGCATGAAATAAATTTTGTATCATGGTTTCAGTGCCTGCTGTATAGTGTAAAGGGGAATCCTTTTCTGAAGCGATCAGGGGTTTCCAGAGACTTGCTTCTAAAATCTTGAATAAATACAGTGTTCTCAAGAGAAATGTAGGAGAAAAGCTTGGTATTGCTTTGGTTCTACAATGCTAATTTTGGTTAGTAGATAATAAATGAAGCCTGCAAACATTTGATACAACTGATGTCTGAAGAATTCACACCATTAGTAATTTTACGAGGGAAGATTAAAAAACCCTATAATTATCTAGGTATCTTCCTTTTCCCTCCCAACAATAATAAAAGTTTGTCTTTTTAGCTGATTAAATGAATTCAGTTTTTGTTACTTCTTTGGGCCTCATCCTTCACTTGTTCTTCATTGAGCCTCAGCAGTCCACCTGACATGAAACTCTGAAAGAAATCCAGGTGTCGAGTCACACTATCTGCCACACAAAACATGCAGCAGTAAGAACTGAGAAACACAATGGGATTAAATTTCATTTTAGATCCTACAGATGAAAACTATGGACTATGTGTCAACAGCATTCTAGTTGCTTGTGCTTTTTTGGTAAAGTACTTCTGTAAGGAAGGATACACCTTTATCCTCATGTGAGGAAATTTGGAAGAGCTGGCAACCTTCTAGACAAGCTATGACATCTGCAACTGCTGATGAGAATGGAAATGTAAAGGAATAGTATCTCTACGGTATGGAGGAAATAGAGATTAAACCCCCCAAAAAACAGAAGAAACACTCATGACTCTGGTAAGTGCTAAATTATAAACAAAAAAACTGCAGCTGGACCTTGTCTTCACAAAACTCTGCTCCAAAAGGAAAATCAAGGAAGACATCAAGCTGTATTTTAGGAACAGAAGAAATAGAAGAACAGAATTTTGTATGTAATTAGAAAACTCCTTTGTATGCTTGATGTAGGATTATGTACTTGATTTCTACTTCAATTGACTATCCTTTCTCAAAAGAACTACTTTTCTCCCACTGTTTCTATGCTGCTATTCTCAGCTGATACATGGGAAATTTTTTACCTCCAGAGGTAAGATCCAGGTTAATCCAGGATCCAAAAGTTTCTTAATGAATGTTTCCTCTTGTAATGTATTAAGAATCCAGAAACAGATTTATCTGCCCCATTTTTTATTTAACACTAACTCAAGGGCCCAGCGTGAAGGCTTTTCAAATTCTCCATTACCATAAGGAAATACTAACAATTCAGCCCTGTAAAGCCCATGTAGGTCTTCCCCTTCCACTGTGCTTTACATATATATGAGTCTTAGCTAACAGGTTGGGTACATATGCCCTAAGGCAACTGTCATTCTGTGCTATTTTTTACATCTGCTAGTCCCATTTTCATTTAGGTATTCTTCTTGGCTTATTCTGATTTGAGGTAACTGTATCTTTTGGGTGACTTCTATAAACCCTTCAGAAACAGAGCAGCGCTTCCCACGTACCGCCCTTCGAGAAATGCTCTAAAGCTTAAGGTCCAACTGACCCCAGAAGCACTGAATCCCAACACTGAATCCTAAGAGAAATTTACCACACCATCCCAGCTGCCTTGCATTTAAGGAGCTTTTGCTGGGGTATTATGATTACAACATTAGTTCCTTCAACCCTGCCCACTCCCACCACAGGAGGTATATGTATTGATCAAAGCATTAAAAGTATCCACGTGGCTAGATTATGACCTCAGGTTTGCAATAATGCCACCAGCTACTTCTGACTTTAAGTCATCATAAGGGCAGAAATGTGTTCTGTGTTTCAGTTACGCTCTGCCTGTTTCCTGCTGGAAATGAACATTCGGGTTTCTTCCTCTGCAAACTCAGCTTTCGGCAATGGACTCCCCCAGCTATAGGACTTGATGCTGGTTCTTCATCTGAACCCACTGGCAATTAGTGGTTTATTACCTGCTAATATTTAAAGCACCCCTCAACCACACCTTCTACACATACAGCTTCTCCTCTGACTGCATGAATGTACTTGTTTGTTCCGGACCAACCTGATGTGTGAAACTGTCTCCACAACTACAATTCCAGACAGCAAGTATCTGAGAAGTGGTTTCTGTTCTCTCACTCCAACAAAAAAATCTAGATAATACTGCTGTGATAACAGTCAAGTGCAGCAGTCATTAATCTGGATAAAGTGATTTTTCACATAAATTGCTTTCTCTCTCCTGAAAATTTCAGGGCCAAAAAGAAAATACATCACTGAAACAAATGGCTGCTAGGACAAATGAGCAGACTGAAATACAGAAGAGACCAAGCAGGGCTAAGGCAAGGACACTCAGAAAAGAACTAAGCACAGAGCTGTTTACAAAAAAGATATCCTGGAGAAAAAACAAGCCCGTTGCTACCCTGCCACTTTGCATATCCTTTTCACAGTCTCAAAATAAGGCACAGTCTCTGAGCTCATACACAAACTAACTTCACTTCATGAAAACCTGCTCAAATTATCCAGGTTATTTTTAAGCCATTCGCTTATTTGAGTTTGGGCATAAAATACCTGTCTGTTCAGAAGTCCCAAAGCTTCTGCACTCACATAGGACTGTAGGTGCAACGTTTCTCTCTTAGGTGAATATGAATGCTTACTTGCAGTCAAGAACAATATTTGAATTAAAATTGAACTTCAAGTTAGAAAATACATACAGAACTGCATCTCTTGACTTTCTCTCCTTCTCTGACAAAGCAAATGCTTTAAAACTAAACATATTCATCCACCCCCATGGAAAGATATATTCCCTGGTTCAGGCTGACAAAATCAGGTTTTCAACCCTCAGCATCCACCTGAGCATTTAAAAAACTTTATGCAAGCATGTAGGTCCAAAGATCTCCAGGCATCAAATATTAAGAGCACGTGCTCCAAAGCTTCAATTGTTTTTTCTGCTGCCTGTGGAGCATAGGTTAGAGATTTCTTATTCAGAAAAAGCCAAAGTATTGCAGTTGTATTAGCTCAGATAGCACTCTGAGATACCTGCACAAGTCCTGGACCCAAAGCACGTAGCAGGGACAACACAGCCTATGCAGAGGCTGCTGACCATGAGTCACATCAGCACGAACAGGAGACACATGATTTAAGCCCGAGCAAATAGGCTCAGTAGGAGCCATGTTTTGTGGTGGTGGTGTCAGTGCAAAGTGGGTAACTGGAGAAGAGGTGGCAGTTGCACAAGAGGTGGGAAATGAGGAGAGGGACACAGGATGGGTCTGGAAAATGGGTTGGGGCAAGTAGGAGGGAGGGGAGCATATGACGAAACAGCAGTTGGGGGAGGGTGTGGAGGGAGGAAGAGGAGCAAGGAGAGAGAGAGAAGTAGTAGCAGTGAGGCTTACCTAACAAAACTATCAAGGACCACTAGCCTAGAAGGTAGAGCCTTGGCCTGGGACTCAGGAGATGGGAGTTTTATTCTTGGCTCTGCTGTGGGCATACTGGGTTACCTTGGTTGGGGCATTTCAGTTTGTTGTGCCTCAGTTTCTGTGACGTTGTCCCCTTTTTAAAGTGTGCTGAGGTCAAAAGAGGAAAAGCAGTATTTAAGAAGGAATAGTTATTATATTCTGTCTACTCAGAATTAAGGCATCTGAGGAGAGAAGCAACTCTCTATTATTTAAAAGATGCCATGTTTCTTTGTCTGCAGAAGAGCACAATGCCCCTATAGGAATCCCTTTTCTTTTGTACTTTAAAGCAGAGGATTATTATGGAAAATGATTAAGCACCCACATAGTTAAAATGACAGAGCATCTTCATTACTGATTGGCAACTCCTCTGCTACCCTAATTTAGATACCACATCTCTTCATGCATTCAAATCAGTAAAAACAAAACAAAAGCTGAATTTGTTTGACATCTGCAGAAAAAAAAATCATGTCAGAACATGAAAAACATCAGAAATCTTCTTGGCCCCACTTCTACACATAAAAAAAATGTAAAAATGCAGAGTCTTATGGCAAAGTGTTCACATACACTTAAAAGATTATGATGATCTGGGAGTACTGAATCATACTGAGTTCAAATTCTGCAATTTCCAAAGTCTTGATCTCAAACCCTGCAGACAGAACTCCCCCCAAGATTGCATTTTATGTGAATAAGAAGGCGGTCCACAGACAAAGTGACCTGGAAATAGATGAGAAAGAAAGAAATGAACTGAAAGGCTAGCCAACACAGGAACTGGACTTAGACTTGACCCTTCCCAACCTGAAAGGGCTCGTCTGAAAAAGAGTCAAAATCCGATACGTCACAACATGAAAATGCTTGAAGAAGTTCTGCAAAGTAAACGTCACCTCTAAATTTTCCATCTCACAGCCAGCTTTTATTCAGGAAT